TACCCCGCTTACCCCATCCCCACCCCAGGCCCCACCTTCAACCTATCTGTAAGGTCCTCGAGAGCAAAGAACCTGCCGGCACATAGTAGGCCCTCAGTAAATGGTTGTCCATTGGTTAGCTCCCTAAGACAGCAGCATCGCATCTATTTTTGGTCACATGCCATTAGCAGCAAGCTTTATGTCTGGAATGGCCGGTAGCCTCAGGAAGCCTGGAGAAGAAATGAATCCTTTGGCTACTTTGTGAGCACTGGGTTATCCCCTTTTCTGTTTCTCAATGGGTAGATGGAATCTGGATGAAAGCCTACTAAGAGAAGTTCAGTGTGGCTTCTTCTCAGGCCTGTCCTAATGATACACCCTGCCAGCAGCAATTGAAATTACACTTGCTGTGAGTCACGCCGTGAGTCACATGGGTTGTCACGGCAACCTATTAACTATATAACCAAAGCACCTTCCATTAGCTTTGCCAAGAATGGTTCCTGAGTTTTCCTGGACTGTGAAAATAGTGTGGGTGAGCCCTAAGTTAGGTGCTGTGTTAAGAGTCTACAATCAAAAGGAATGGCCTCGAGGACAAGAAAAGAAAACGAGAAAATAAGGTTATTTTAGTTCTTGGACCTCCTGAGTAAATGGCAACAATCGTGACAAATTGTTGGGTTGGTTTTGTGATATCAACAAATGCCTAAGGAGAGGAGGTTGAGGCCTCAAAACTAATTTTCTCTAAGTCAAATTCAAAACCAAGTCTCTAGGGGTGAAAAGTGAATACATTAACCTATTCCACTTTAAATGACTGCAATAAACACTTTTTCTTTTTACAGATACAAAGGATTATTTCTCAAGGAAATATTCTGATTTGTACTAAAATATTTTGAATATTGAGTACTAAACTCTTTTTATAAATAATATAGTGCTTTAATTTTATATGTTTGATTTTAGCCTACTGCAAACAAACATTTGAAAATGCACTAAATTGACGTTAGTGGCTATTCATGTTAAAATTAAAATATTTCAGAAGACTCCAAAGCACATTTTACTTTGTTATTTACTGGGGAAAACTGACATTAAATCGTATTAAACTGATACATTTTTCTGGCTGCTTTACTGAGTGGCCTGCAATTTTCATACGTGTGTAAAGTAAGTGCCTGTTCCTGAGTGTAGAAGAAAGCAAGCAGACCAGACTTACACAGGAAGAATAAAGAATAGAAACATGGATGAGAACAGGAGGAAGTGACAATGATCTGTTGCTTCTGGAAACTATCTAGCAGTCTACCTGGTACCCTTCAGGTCTACACTGTGGCCCTTGGCTGATATATACGTTAAGGTTATGACTTCATGATGCTAAACTTCCTACTAGCTGGAAAGGTCTAAGAGGATCTGTTGCATTTGTTACTTTTTCACCTCCTAATCCATCATATTTTAACATTTTAGTGTATGCAGAACAATCCAAGTAGAATGAGATTAAAAAGTCAGGGGCAAATGACAAGTTGTCCTTGGCAAATAATAAAAACCAAAATAGCTGTTGATGCCATGAAAAAGATACTTATCCGACATGGTACCATTTCAGCAGGAAAGACAACAGAACAAACTTGTGAAACACCAAAGTCAAAGCAATCTTTAAAGTGTCCAACCAAATACAGGTGCTATATAATCACCACAAAGATTAAATTGAAATTCTACACCACAGTGTAAAATTTATCTCGTAGGTCCCTGTCCCACAAGTAAAAACTTCCTTTTCTGCTCACATACCAAAACCAACAGCAACAATTTCTATCACCAATTGAAGAATATCACAAATGAAAGCATTCTCTGACTAGGTTGGTCACGACGACTTTGTACTAGAAGCCTCAAAGCTTTGCCTTCCCCCACCGGCCAAGTAAAGTTAATGACAAATACCACCAGTGCCCTTCTCAGGAACTCTGGAGAATCTGAGTTCTCCAAAGACCACGCTTGTGAATTCCTCTGAAGATACTAATCAGATTTCCTTTCCTGGGAATTTCTGGCTCAGCTCACCCAAAGCATTTTTTATTTGTTTATTTATTTATTTATTTTTAAAGAAGCATATAATACCTATGCTTTCCAGATAACGAGGTGGCCTAAAATACTATCAGGTGTCACATCTCTTCAGGTTCATTTTGTGGTTCTTACACCTCTGACTGGTGTACCTGTGAGCTGACACTCTGGTCTGATAATATATTCTACAACTGTACATGTTAATTTGTAAGTTGAACCATCTCTCTGTGAGGGCAGTTAGGAAACCTGGATTGAAATTGCTAATGTGGGGTGACTTTGGCTGTTGATGATTATGTAGTCAAGCCTTGACCAAGGTTTCCAGAACTCTGGCTAAAAATGGAAGTCTTGTGACAGTACAAAAATGAATTCACACACTTCACTGATAGTGAAACTTTTTGAAGAACAGATGTCAAGATGCTTTAAGAGGAGCTGGAATTTAACCTCTTAAGAAAACTTATGGGCAAGGTAGGACAGTTTGGTTTTCAAGAAAAATCCGACAGATGCTAAAGAAGAAGTAATTTGGGTGATTGTTATGGGAGAAAGAACTGACTGATTTTCTTTCTCCTCACAAGCGGTAGGCCCTGTAGAGATGCTAAGATCAGAAATATGAGGGGCTGTCTGCTGAGTTGGGTGACAAAAACAATCTCCACATTTAAGTGGCATTGAAGACTTGCACTAACACGCAACTTGGACAATTCAATTTCTTCTTGGCATGTGCAAAGTTTTGTGTCAAATCGCTGTTCTTCCCAACTTGTCATTGGTCTGCTTTATCATGGGCCCTCTCCCCTAAATCATGAAAGTAAACATCAACCAAAAAAACCTAGATGATTTCTGATCTCTTTTTGTCAATTTAATATTTGAATTACATAAAATGAGCTTTCTTTTAAGTCTGTCGACACTTATTTGATGCTTGATGTCTAAGAATTTTCCTGCTGATTTCCAGAGTTAGAAAGGCAATCAAAGTCCACCCACTCTGGCTCTACTTTTCAAGCAGGTATATCTGGTGGGGTTAGTTAAGCCTTGGCTGCAAGGTCAACCTGGCTATATTGCCTCTTCCTGGAACACCAGCTTTTACTTCACTAGCTACCACTCCCGTGCTGCCATCCAAATCCTTCCATGAATTTAAATCTGACCACGAGTTATTGTTTCTGTAATAGGCCAATGAAATTATTCTCAGGGATGATAATTCCTTGAATGTCCTCATGCATGGATGGTCTATATATTTACTAACGTCTCTGGTCTCTGTCTTATTGGGTGAGGGGCACTCTTTGTATCCAGTGGAGTTGAACTAGTGGTTTATCCACTTATCCAAGAGCCAAGTCATAATGCAAATAGTCAGTGGCTTTCTCTGTGTTGCCAGGTGGCCAGGAGTCCATACCCCAAACCACCATAAACAGTAGGCACAATCATCCGCTCCTGTTCGGGAGAGGCCCAGGACTGAGCTAGCAGAAAGACTGAATTACTTACCACCTCTAGAGTGGGTCCCTCCAGGCCAGGGACGAGCTCATGGGCAAGGCTGTGCAAGGAAGCGCTCTGTACCATGCCTGCCCTGCGGATATACAGAGGACTTCAGTCTCCTGCACTGTCAATCTCTCAGTCATCATGAGCTCAATTATGCACCGACAACAGCAAGAACAACAACAACAACGACGACAAAACAACCCCCAAAAAGCTAAGGGCCACAGACTACCGTGATGGAGGGACAGCCAACGGGAACTGTGCATTCCGAGATGGAGGAGCTGTCCTGATCATGTGTCCGTTACGGGCCTGACCTTTACTTCTTTCCTCAAACAAACATTCTATTGAAGCCCATGGGAGAGCTAGGTGGAGAGACTGCAGGACTGGGCCCTAAAAGGCCACCATCAAATTTGGTGGGGTGTTTTTTTTTTTTAGTGTTTTTGTTTTGTTTTGTTTTGTTTTGTTTTTTTTGCTTTTTTGTTTGCTACAAATACAGATAGACAGACAGACAAGCCCAAGAGCAGATTTCAAGAATCAACTGAGGCACAAGATAAACTACTTTGATGTTACACAGATTTTTTTTTCCCCAAATGTTTCACATGAAACCAAAAATTTTAAAAGCGTAATTAGGAAAAATTTGGGGACACATCTTTGTCGGCCCTAAATTGTGCCATAAATATCTCCACTGCTTGCCTTAGAAGGATGCCCAAACACATCTCATGGGTAGCACATATCTATGGTCTAAAACAGTTATCGATTTCTAATGACACTACTAATTCAAAGTCTAAATATGCTGGTCAAGTACAGTGAAAGTTGACTGCCTGCATCAATTACGGATTAGTCTCATCCTGAGGTTCAAAGCACAGTCAAACATTATTGCTCAGATTGCAAAATCACAACACTTTACATTGACGTGAGTTTGTAAACTTATGGTGTAGTTCGAATGAAGGCAACTGATGAAAGCAGTTGAACCTGAGAAGTGGGAATGAATACAGAGTGTCAATCCAGCGCACATTTCCACATCAAACTTCCGATGCCATTTACCAGGGCCCTCATGGGCCACAGTCATGGTCGAGCAACAGCACCTAGATTCCCAGTCAGTATCTCTGCCCCACAGACACAAGTACAAAACGGCCTAGATCGTGAACTGGTGGTGAGGAAAAGGAGACCAAAGTTTAAAAGAAATCCAGGTGATGTTTCCTAGAAACATACCAGCTCTTCTAAGAAGGATCCAGAATAGGGGTGATCGGTAAGTAATTAATTGATCCTCCTGACTAGATTTGATGATTTTTCTAAAGACTAATGACTTGAATCACTAGAATTCAGCAGACTATGGCTAGACTCTCTTTAACACACACTCAGTACAAACAGGTGGAGATGCACCACTTCCGACCACTACAGGTAGAGAAGTATGACCTCTGTTGACCATGGATCACAGCTGAAACATTAGTTTATACTTGAAGGGTCACAGCAGCCAGACATATGCGAATTCCAACTCTTCAGAAAACTTTGGATTAAAAAAAAAATGCATTACTTACATGTATGTGTCTTCTTCGTTACTGAGATACCTAGAAGAGAAGAAAGAATGACAAAGGTAAGAAAGTGTCCTGTGGGTGCTTTTTTGGAAAGCGTGTCATTCACAGTGTACTCAGGAGAGCATTTGCTTGGACGGCAATGCAGAGGCCAGGTTAGTCTCAGTCGTACCTGGTGGCGTCACCCGACCTGCCCCAGAACAACAGAACCACGAGTGACAGGGATGGCAAACACCGGCTACCGGTTTAGAACATTCTGTGGTAAAAAGCAGCGTGGACAGTGATTAAACAAGGTGAGAGAAGACTCTCCGTTTTCATTTTAAATAGGAAGATGATCATATATAGAGGCAGAGTGGGGAAGATTTAAGATGCAAGAGAGCGATGCCAACCTACTCAGACAAGAGTGAACTGAGCTGTGGCCATTGATTCTGGGTTTACTTTTTAATGAAAATGACTCTGCCTGCTCACAGGAGGCATGATTTTTTTACGGTGAAGGGAAAAACATCCACAAAATGTACCTATCTGTCCGTACTCCTTAAAGTCAGAAGGGGTATGGCTGCTACTTCTCTGTGAACGGTACCAAAACTTAACACAAACGGTATGAAAACACGAGGGATTCATGAGTCAGCAACCTCACTGCGTCCAAGATGATTTATGGAGAGCAGGTGACACATGAATGCCGCTAAGCAAGACTCGGCACATAAGACCACAGAAAGCTAACACGAACGCACGTTCCAGTGCAAACTATGCTATCTCTGTTTCGGAAGGAGCCCATCTTAAACTCTATGCCCTGCCCTTTTTGGGAGATATTCCTGAGACTAAATAGGCTCAAAGTAATACAACTCTTGAAAACATTTAGCCTGTGACTAAGCACTGTGGTTAACCTTGAAATTTTTTTCTTTCAAGTTATTAAGAGAACTATTTAACCCTCCTCTGGAAAGTAAAAGTTGTCGAAAAATTTGGCACCCACATCAGACCCATTACTTAGCTATGGAACAAATCGTACAGGGGAGAAATCTGAAAATCCATGGTAGACATTAAAAAAAAAAAGTTCCAAAGTTGTGTGCCAAGACCAAAATCACACGCTTGCTCCCCCCCACAACTTTCCAAAGGGCTTATTTAGGGAAGCTGAAATTACATAGTCCAACTCATATTCCCCCGCCCCCCTTTTTATTGAGGAAAACTAAACTATTGTTTTTCATCATGTTTGAGTTGGCTTCTCAAAGTGAAGTTAGAACCCTCAGCAAAGAGCCTTGAAGGCTCTCTCACACTGGAACTACAAAAAACTTTCTAGAATTTTTTTTGAAAGAAGCTTTATCATGGGAAGGGAGCTTCCCCCAACAGCAAGTGTGAGTGAAGTTTAAAATCTGAATACAATTTGCAACTCCAGCTCATGACACCAGCACCAATAAATTGATACATTAGTGCTCCTTCAGCATTATGAGGGCTATATGTGTACTTTCCTCAGGAAATAATGCTTTCTGTAAAATCACTTTGAAGAGAAAGTGCTTATGCTGTCACTCCTGATTATTCAGAACCTCCACACAATTGGATTTAACACAGCCCCAAACAGACCTATCTATATTCGCTGAGTGTGGAACTATTTTCTCCTGACATCCAAAGCCCTGACAAAAATACCACTGCTTTGACTTTTCTACTTAAATTTATTATACAGCGTAAGGCAGGGTTCTCATCAAATATTTTCATGATGATTACATTGATAATAGATTCTGAAAATCTTTCCAGGAAAGCCTGATCTTTCCTGATCTCAGAGAGCTAAAACTACTCCTATCTGTGCCCAGGAGCAACCATGAGCTCCACATCAGAGCCAGCTCATTCCCCTAGTTTCGGTTAGCAGCCACTTAGCAATTGATATAAAGAACTGGGGGATATGCCCACCTAAAAGTGGCTAGTTTAGCAGATAAAATGCAGGATGCCAGTTAAATGTGAAGTTCAGATACGACTCTGCTGTGTACCCAAACTTCAAATTTAACCGAGCATCCTGTATTTTATCTGGCAACCCTAATCCATACAAACAAAATGTAAACTATATCTGTTCTATACAGTGAAGAATATAAAACAAATTAATAGCACAGTTTTACGGAGAAAGCCTTAAAAAACACAGCCCTCCCCTGAAAGCAGTATTTTTTATAAAAAGTGCATTGTTTTAACTATGGAGACAGGACTATGCATAATATTTAATTATTGTTTTTACTTCATAGCCATTAGGAAGACAAAATTCTATTACCCTCCAAAAGCAAACAAATGAAAACGATATGAACACACAAAAGACAAATTTAATGGAACGATCGGAAAGTTTATGTGGAATTGCCTTCTTCCTCCTCTCCTAAAAAATAACATTTTTGATCAAACTAAGGTTTGCATTTGTGTCGCTCATTTCTCTATAGAAGCTCTAGTACTTCACAGTAACTGATTCCATAGAAGCGTTAAAAAAAAAAAAAAGGAAAAAAAACCCCCAAAACAAAAAACAAAGCAACAACAAAAAAAGGGGCACCTGGGTGGCTTAGTCAGTTAAGCATCTGACTCGATTCATGATTTTGGCTCAGATCACGATCTCAGGGTGCTGAGATTGAACCTCATGGAGCCTGCTTAAGATTCTCTATCTCCTTCTCCCTCTGTCCCTTACTACCCAGCCCCCTGGTCTGTCTCTCCACCCCCACTCCCGCCCACCCCCCCAGCCCCCGCAGAGAAAAAGAAAGAAAGCAAAAACCATTCTCAGTTCACAGATGGGTCAGTTGAGGCTCAGGAAAGTTTAATTAGCACAATAAAAAGCTTTCTGTGGAAAGTTAATATCCTCTTGGAATCACATCCATGGCTCATGTTTAAAAACCCTGGTATAGACAGTGCCTCTGAAAGGAGTAAATATTCAAAAAAAGATTGATTCCCAGGACCATATCACTCAGCAGTCAGTAAATAATTTAAACCTATGGGACCCTGTCCCCAGTCTCATCCCAACCAGGGAGCCTCACCAGGGCGTGGGGGAATGAGGTCCTCCAAAAGAGAGGCCTGCGGTGCCCTCGTTTGTGACCAACAGCCATTTCTTCACCCTTCATCGGGGTGGGGTGAGTCTCCCCCTTTAGTCTTTCTTCTCCTTCCCTCAGAGGTTGTAAGCGTTCTGTCTTTCCTGCCAGAAAGCACCTCCTTCACGAGACCACAGCAGTCACACACTGCCCATTCTCATCCTTAGCACATCCAAAGCTAATGTTAATAGCAGTAGTAGGAGAAGCAGCTCTGAATAATGAATTGTTGGAAAACTGGTTTTCTAAAGATAAATTATCATGAGTATTTAGCAGGGGCAAATAGCTCTCATTCTACCCAGCAGAAAAGAATATACTTTTTAAAGTTAACTCAAGATCGCTGGGTCTGGGGTCAGGCCTACTTGGGCTTGCATTCGTAGCCCGTACACTTTCCTGCCTCTTGGCTGACAGGCCTTGGGCAACTGACTTAACTTCTCTGGGCCTGGAGTTTGTATTTGTGTCTTGAGTTTATAATTGTGTATCATCACGATAATACTCAAAATTCTGCTATGAAAATTAAAATGAAATTAAAGAGCTTTCCAACCTGGGAAGTGTGATAGAAACGTTAAAAGGGTGGGCAACATGCTCGGTCTTATTTTAGCAAGGCTGAATTAGAATATTCTACTGAAAGTTATGTCATAGCTACTCCTGATGTCCCTGGGTTTCACTCTGACATAGGGCCTAAGGACTCTGGTTTTCAGACCAAGTGCTCTGACTTGAAAATTTCTAGTTGTTGGAGGAGAGCATGAGACAGACAACCAAGTTCCTAAAAGTAAGCGTGTGCTGTTCTAGACCCTGAACTCCATTGGAGTCTTTACTCTCTGAAATCCAGGGAAGACACTTGTTCATTGGCAAGTGTGCTAACTAGACTGCTGTTTAGCACAGGCGAGGGACTTTGATCACCACCACCAAAGGGTGTCAAACTGAGTCCAGCTGTTGTGAAGGTTTTGATTCACTGCCAAGTGACTGGGAAGAACACCAAGATCCTTCCACTGAGATTTGCAAACAGGCCACCGAGCAGAGTAATGCTCTCTGCAGAGCCTGTGACGGCAGGGAGCTGTGGGAGAGCGCTGGGGGTGGGGGTGGGGGTGGGGGGGGGGCGCCGGGGCGCTCAGCAACCTGAGCCAAGAGGGGACTCACTGGTTGGTTTGGGCAAATAACTGAACTTTTCTGGGCCTTAGTTTTCTCATCTGTAGAATGAGATGGCTGAACTGCATGATTTCTTAATTTCCCTTTTAGTTCATTGATCAAGGGCTCCTTGCCCTGCTTTCTAGCTATCAGACCAAACCTCCTCTTTTTAAGCAACAGGCTGCCAGATCTATTTCTCACTGTACAAAATCTAATGTAGCTCACAATCAAAGGTAACCCCCTGAAACTTTTTTCTTTTTGCCTTTAAAAACCAAAGAAGAAAGAAGGCAGTACCCACAAAAGGTTATATAAGTAAAAGCTACACTTCTTTTGGGTGATATTTTAAAATTATCTGGGCTAGAGAAAAATGGTACCTTTTGATAAAGTTGCAAGACTCCTTATATTTCACCCAGATCATATATAGAGAGAGAGAGAAAGAGAGAGAGAGGAGAAAAGAGAAGAGAAACATTTCCAAGTGATACTTTAATTTCTAATTTAATAACAGAACATCAGTTTTAAATTGTCAATTAACACCCTTGAAATTAAGAGGAAAAATCTCCACAAATACTATACTCAAAGTAGGGCTTCTAATACAGCAAGACTGCCTGACTCTATTTAGCCGACCATGCTTCAAAGTAAAGCAAAGGAAATGTCATGAAAATACCACAAATTTATCACTGTCACGGTTATCAGTAGTTTGAGAGTTAGAGCTATCACAGAGCAGAGCACTTTAGGAATGTAATCTGATATTTCCAATCAGTGCCAAATCTGGGACCAATTAACTTCCTTGATGGACTTCTTATTGTCTCTTGGTTTCTAGGCAATTGTCTGGGTACCAAGTTTATTTTAAATTTTTTTTTGGTTGGGGGT